TTCATGCTAAAAAAAAATCGCTCAGTAAATTCGGGTATTGATGGAACGACTTCAAAAAATAATAAGAGCTATTTATGACAAAACCCACAGCCAATATCATACTGAATGGGCAAAAACTGGAAAAATTCCTCGAAAACTGGCACAAGACAGGGATGCTCCCTCTCACCACTCCTATTCAACATAGTGTTGGAAGTTCTAATAGTAATCAGGCAAGAGAAAGAAATCAAGGGATTCAGTGTTAGGAAAAGAAGAAGTCAAATTGTTCCTGTTTGCAGATGACATGATTGTATATTTAGAAAACCCCATTGTCTCAGCCCAAAAATCTCCTTAAGCTGATAAGCAACTTCAGCAAAGTCTCAGGATACAAAATTAATGTGCAAAAATCACAAGCATTCTTATACACCAGTAACAGACAAACAGAGAGCCAAATCAGGAATGAACTTCCATTCACAATTGCTTCAAAGAGAATAAAATACTTAGGAATCCAACTTACAAGGGATGTAAAGGACCTTTTCAAGGAGAACTACAAACCACTGCTCAGTGAAATAAAAGAGGACACAAACAAAAGGAAGAACATACCATGCTCATGGATAGGAAGAATCAATATCGTGAAATGGCCATACTGCCCAAGGTAATTTATAGATTCAATGCCATCCCCATCAAGCTACCAATGAGCTTCTTCACAGAATTGGAAAAACTGCTGAAAGTTCCTATGGAACCAAAAAAGAGCCCATGATTCCAGCAAGACAATCCTAAGTCAAAAGAACAGCTGAGGCATCACGCTACCTGACTTCAAACTATACTACAAGGCTGTAGTAACCAAAACAGCGATATAGACCAATGGAACAGAACAGAGTCCTCAGAAATAATACCACACATCTACAGCCATCTGATCTTTGACAAACCTGAGAGAACAAGAAATGGGGAAAGGATTCTGTTTAATAAATGGTGCTGGGAAATTGGCTAGCCACAAGTAGAAAGCTGAAACTGGATCCTTTCCTTACTCCTTATAATAGTACTAATTCAAGATGGATTAGGAGACTTAAATGTTAGACCTAATACCATAAAAATCCTAGAGGAAACCTAGGTAGTACCATTCAGGACATAGGCATGCGCAAAGACTTCATGTCTAAAACACCAAAAGCAACAGCAGCAAAAGCCAAAATTGACAAATGGATCTCTTTTTTTTTTTTTTTTTTTTTTTTTTTTTTTTTTTTGGTGCTAGTATCTTTTTTTTTTTTTTTTTTTTTTTTTTTTTTTTAATTTATTTATTATTATTAAACTTCAAGTTGCAGTATTGCGCCATGTTGGTGTGCTGCACTCCATCAACTGTCATTACATCAGGCATAATCCCCGGCCTTCTCCCCCATGATATCTCTCGGTGTGATGTTCTTTCCTCGAACCAAGTGATCTTAATAGTTCAGTTCACCCAGTGAGAACACGAGGTGGTGCTACAGCTTGTTCTGTGATTTGCTAGCAGATATTTCAGATGTGAAATCCATGAAATGACACAAACCATCCTTTTATGGTTGCATAGTATATGTGCCACATTTTGTCTGTCTGTCACTGATGGACATTTGTTGATCTGTCTTATATTGTGAATAGTGCTGCACAAACATACGCGGTGCATGTGTTCTTACGCATACTATAATCCTTTGCTGGCCTGCAATGGATTAACAGGAGGAAAGATCTAGCCTCTAGACCCTTGAGAATGTTACTGTTTTCATAATGGCTGAACTAGTTTACTCCATCAACAAAGTGTGTGCGTCTCCTATTTCACATCTCTTCCTCCAGCACCTGCCAGTTTCGACTTTGACGATCACATTTCTGGTTCGGTGTGAGATGGCATTGCGGTTTTGATTTGCATTTTCGTTGATGGCCAGTGATGATGAGCATTTTTCATGTGTTGTTGGCTGTATGAATGTCTTCTCTTTGGAGAAATGCCTGTTCATATCTGTCTACTTTGGGATGGGTTGTTTGTTTTTTCTGTGGGCCTTGTCTGGAGTTTGTGTGTTCTGAGGCCAGCCTTGTCAGATGAGGATTGTTCCTCCCATTCTGTAGGTTGCCTGCTTCCTGATGGTGAAAAGTGATAGTAGAAGCTCTTTTAGTTTGATGAGATGACAAATGGGATCTCATTAAACTAAAGAGCTTCTGCACAGCAAAAGAAACTACCATCAGAGTGAACAGGCAACCTACAGAATGTGAGAAAATTTTTGCAATCTACTCATCTGACAAAGGGCTAATATCCAGAACCTACAAAGAACTCAAACAAATTTACAAGAAAAAAACAAACAACTCCCATCAAAAAGTAAGGCAAGGATATGAACAGACATTTCTCAAAAGAAGACATTCATACAGCCAACAGACACATGAAAAATGCTCATCATCACTGGCCATCAGAGAAATGCAAATCAAAACCACAATGAGATACCATCTCACACCAGTTAGAATGGCGATCATTCAAAAGTCAGAAAACAACAGGTGCTGGAGAGGATGTGGAGAAACAGGAACACTTTTACACTGTTGGTGGGATTGTAAACTAGTCCAACCATTATGGAAAACAGTATGGCGATTCCTCAAGGTTCTAGAACTAGATGTACCATATGACCCAGCCATCCCATTACTGGGTATATACCCAAAGGATTAAAATTATGCTGCTATAAAGACACATGCACACGTATGTTTACTGCAGCACTATTCACAATAGCAAAGACTTGGAATCAACCCAAATGTCCATCAGTGACAGATTGGATTAAGAAAATGTGGTACATATACACCATGGAATACTATGCAGCCATAAAAAGGATGAGTTTGTGTCCTTTGTAGGGACATGGATGCAGCTGAAAACCATCATTCTTAGCAAACTATCACAAGAACAGAAAACCAAACACCGCATGTTCTCACTCATAGGTGGGAACTGGACAATGAGATCACTTGACTCGGAAGGGGAACATCACACACCGGGCCTATCATGGGGAGGGGGGAAGGGGGAGGGATCACTGGGGAGTTATACCTGATAAATGACGAGTTGATGGGTGCAGCACACCAACATGGCACAAGTATACATATGTAACAAACCTGCCCATTATGCGCATGTACCCTACAACTTAAAGTATAATAATAATAAATAAATTAAAAAAAAAAAAGAAGTCTTAAAAGTTCTAATCTGACTTTTGTGTTTTAAATTTCTAACAAAGATGGTAAAACAGACACTGGGCCCTATTTGAGAGTGGAGGGTGGGAAGAGGAAGAGAAACAGAAAAAAATAACTATTGGGTACTAGGCTTAGTACCTTGGTGATAAAATAAGCTGTACAACAAACACCCAGACATGAGTTTACTTCCATATATAACATACCTGCACATGTACCCCTGAACCTAAAATAAAAGTTAATAAAAATTTATTACAAATTAAAAATAATATACAACACCAAGAGTGAGACCTGATGTAAACTGTGGACTTTGGATGACAATGATGTGTCAATGAAGGTTCATCAATTGTAACAAATGTACCACTCTGATGGGGGAGGTTGATAACGGGAAAGGTTGTGCATGTGTGGGGTAGTGGGTATATGGGAAATTTCTATTCCTCTTGATTTTGCCTCCCTATGAAAAGCAAAAACTTAAAGACTTAAAAATTATAGTGAAGGGCATTAAATTTGGAAAAATCAATAACCTAGTTCCTTACTATGAAATCATATGGCATAGTACTCTAAATGTAACCTTTATATGTCGTTCCCATGGACTTCATACACACTTGCTCTAGGAATAAAAGAGCAGCATTTTCATGTTTCCTTTTTTCTGAGTTTGTATCAGTACTGGGTGTGTGCAGGTGGGGATAGGAGGGTTATCTTTAGCTAATTTTAGAATTGAGTTGAATGGAGGAATTATACCTTTCCAGTACAAAAATTTAAGAAGTGTGTTTTGCCTCCCAGGTGGTAAAATCATGCATACTTTTATTTCCTTTTTTGGTCTCTATATTTTCCAAGTGTTCAACAAAGTGTGGTTATTAGTTTTTATAATAAAAGAGATTTTAGGTTATTTCTCTGATTTCTAAGAGTAAAAAAAAATAAAGTTTTAAAGTTCTAATCTGAAATTTTCAGTGATCACATTTCAGCAGTGTTCAAAGGAATATGTACAATCAAGGCAAATATTTTGTCTCCACTTGATTTCCTGATGACAGAATTTTCCTAAGCATATTCCTGGCCTTTTGTCCCTCTATTCTCTGCCCTAGGAGGTTGAAGGATTTATTTGACTGGCAAATTTAGAAGGTTCAGTCTCATTTATCTTCCTTTAGAAAAAGCTGTCTACAGGAGCAAGTTACTCTCTATTTTTCTAGGAGCAGATTCTTCCCCTTTAGAGAAAGATCCTGTACTTGTTTAACACTGCTTATATTTAGATACCTTCTCTGCCTGCTTGTTTTGGCAAGCCTCCATTTGGCTCTCATACTAAGCTACAGTTCTAATTTGTCTTTATTAAAAATAAAGATTTTTTTGGCCTTCATATGCTACTCTGTTTTATTTTTCAATTTGCTTAGAACATAGCCATGGAAGAAGGAAGTCATTTTATTGTTTCATGTATTTCTCATGTCTGACAGTTGACATTCTTCCTGAATTCTATCATCAAAAGCTTTGACTTATAGTAAACACAATTTCTAAATCTAACTTAATCTCATCATGACGAGCTCAGAGTCTACACTTGAACACTACTGTTTTACCTAATGGATGGAATTCAAGCTACTTTGTAATTTCAGAAAGCAGTCAGAAAACAGCCTTAGGTTATCATTTTGACTTTTAAGGTTACTGTTGATCCTGATGCTGAACACTGAGGGAAAATGCTTCCAATTACAGACAAACTCTTCCATAATAACACAGACAAATCTTCAAAACTCATACATTTGTGACCAACTCCTGAAGAAATATACTTTTAGATAACCTTCAATAGAAGGTAAATTACTCATCATATGTATACATATGACATTTCTGAATATAATTACCTCAGCTGGTGTGCTTTGCCACATGCCCTACGATGACAATGACCTTCCCTTTGAAGTTCTGGAGCATAGCAGCAAGGGCCCTGGGTAAGCTCCTTCTGCAGTGAAGGGGCAGCACTGAATGGAATGTTGATGCTTCCTGAAATGTGACCACGAATAAAGCTGAGAAGGAAAGTTTAAGGAAAACATTTATTTGTGTGCAATCATGAGTGTCTGAGGGAAACTCACAGAGCCAAGTGACTCCCAGAAGAGAGTACTAAACATCTTCCAGCTCATATGTGTATTTATCTAAATGAAGTAAGGCACTTCAAGAGAAAAAAAAATTAAATTTAAAATGAAGTAGAAGAGAGAAAGGAAGATTATTAGGCCAAAGATGTAAAAGAATTTACATCAAAAGCATTTCATTACATAAACACAGATATGGGGTATACAATAACCATATTTAAAGAGGTTCTATAATGAGTGGAGATAGTGGAGATGGACTAAGATATCTTACAATTTAAATTTTCTAGTCAGTTGCTGCTTCATCATTTCTTTTAAAGAAAAGAATATGACATTAATAGTGAGAGAAAGAACCATAAATAAGTTCTGAAAAATGAAAGGAGAGAGAATCAACATTAACATTCCAGGTGACATTGTTCAGTTGACATTTTCTAGAATGGGCAGAGAGAATTTATGATCATGCATAGATTACCTTTGAAATTCATCAGCACTAGTTTTTCAAATACTTCTAATTATTCAATATTCTAACTGTAGTTTTCTCTCTGAAGAGTCATGACTTTTCTCAGAATATAATTACTCTGATGGTATCTTTTTTAAAAAAACTGAAAGTACTTTTATTTTCAGTAAAGATCTACTTTTTAAAATGAAAATTTTTTATAACACAAACTAAGAACCTAACAACTCATGTATTCTCAGCACCTATATCTACATCTGTCCAGGGCTGAATCAGTTGCCAGAGAGTGTTTCCATATTTATCAAACAACCTTTACCAACCATGAACATCTTTCTTTTTAGTGTGTTTAAAGTAGCAAAAGCAATACAAATCTATCCTGGTCAAATGCTGTAGCAGACATGTTTGGGTTGCCTGCCCACCTGCTGTTTTCTTGTTTGGAAGAGCACCAGCCATTGACCCTGAGGAAAGGGTGAGTCTAGGCTGTCATATTGGTATCAGATGATCCTGCTATAACCATGACTGACCGGATGGTGGAGGGGAGGGTGATGATGGATATATGATGCAGGCCGAGCCAATGAGATTCTCTCCTTTGAAAATCGGAAATAAAAGACATAAAAAGATAATCCCCAGACTGTGTTAAGCGCTATATGTAAAGTCACCTTTAAGGGCCTCTTCCATAAAATTTGTTCAGCCACTTATTAGAAAAAAAAATTAGAAGACTTTGACTCTTAAAAAGAAGAACTGTTTAATAGATAAATTTAGGTGACTACTGTATTTATTAAAAAGTACCTATCTATATCTAAATAACCATATCTAGTAACTATATCTATAATCATAGATAAGTATTAAGGTGATTTTGTAGGTTCAATATCACCTATTTATTATGTGCCTTTAAAGATTTTAATCTAAACTCCTTTCAGTTACTAGAAGTATGTCATAAAGTTATTATCATATTATCCTTGTGATTTATTTGTTAAAATCTAGATTAAATATTAAAATGCTTCACAAAATATGACGGGTAACAGAGTCTTTTTTGAAAGAGAAAGTTTTTCAAAATATAAAATGATTCCAAACCTTTTTTAGGCTACAGTTTGGAAAATAAGGCATAAAAGAAACAGAGTTTTAAACCACGCTTTCCTTATTCTTAATCTACTTCAACCAAAAAGTCTTGGATAATATCTAAGAACACTCATCCAAGAACACTCTTGTCATGAAACTTCTAGCACAAAAATGACTGGGTAAGCATGAATGTCTTTAGACATGGTGGTTAAACCTCTAAATTTTCTATCATTACTGGTAAACAGCAGAGGAATGCATTACTGGCAAACAACAGAGGAGAATGATTGGCTCATATAAATAAGTGTATTTACAATGAATAGCCTGTTGTTTAAATAAGTCAGACAATGAAGACAACTTTGGTTATTTAGAAGAAATCTTTTTCTTTTTCCTTGAAATTACTTACATTGCCTACAATACAATTTCTCAAGTGTGACACATATGAAATAGAACTGCTTTAGGCAACTTCTAGACATTTGAGAGGTGGTCAGATTATATTGTAAATCTAGGCAGATGGATACTTTTTTCACTTGTTGAGTCCTTCATAATCAGAATAAAATATGAGGTATTTGGAAACTGAGCCAGAACAGATTTCCTGTATATTTGTATTAGGAAGAATAAATAAAGAGGGAAATAGAAGTTCTTGACATATGGTGACTGAATAACCATAGTTGACTGTCATCAGTCATGAGTAAAATTCATAAGAAGAGAAATGATGGAGAATATGTTGAGATAAGCACATTTTTCCATGCTCTAAGAACTTTGGTTTTATTTCACTATATTACAGTGGAAAACAAGTATACACAGGACCTTCACACAAAGGTAGGGTTAGAGATGAACATGCAACACTACATATTTTAGAAGTATGACTGTCACTTTATTGCTTTCTGTCTAATATAGATAAAAATCTTAACCCTCTACATTAATGTTTTACATTTTAAAAAGGCTCTCATTATATAAACACAGATATGGGGTAAAAAATAACCACACTTAAAGAGGTTCTATAATGTGTATAATACTCAATAGTCAGACACTATGCTATTTTATAAACGAAGAATTTAAAAAAGCTACAGCTCAAAGAACCCAGTTCAGAGGAATACTACTATTAAGGAAATAGTAGCCAAAGTATTTATGGGGCGATTAGCCCTAATCACATACATATCATGATATTGTAATCCCAACAATGACATTACAATTTTTGGTTAGGTTTTGGCAAAAGTGGCAATGGTATCTATAAACACTAATTTTTAACTTTCAGAGTTCATAGGAAATGAGAGTTTTTGAGGACATACTTGAAAGAGTTAAGAGATAAAAAACATCATTACAGAAGTCAGCAGTAATTACAATGAAATCTCTAGACTGGAATAATAATAGTTATGAAAGCATAAAAGCATCCAGTTATTGTAGCAGCTCACTTGGTTCACATGTTTGAATATGGTTGTTTACCTCTATGAATGCACTACAGGATACATTCCAGTAAACATATGAATTTTCAAGTATATGGTGACCTTACATTATATATCTTACCCTCGCCTTGGAATAAATTGTACCCTCCCTGCAAATAAACCATTCAGATCAACATTCCATTTGGCAGATATTACCAAAAGCATTTGAATGTATACTTAGAACAAAATCAAAATTTTGCATTAAACAGAATTTGATAGCCCAATGCACAGACAGATTAAAAAAATTACTGTAAGCTTCTGATAAATAACTTGGATTATCAGAATATCATTAACAGGTAGGGATGATGTATATTCTCTTCTAGGTTTCTAAGATACAAAAACTTTCCTGTATTCATAATTCAGTCTACAAAACAATGCTGTAAGTAGATATGCTGTACTTCAATCAAACAGAAAAAAATCAGGTCTAAGTATATAGATACAGTGTATAAGTAAATTACATGGTATTTAACCAAGAATATTCAAAAGACTCCTTAATTTACAAAAGATTTGAAAATTCCTTTAAAATATTGCTTAAAAATTCAACACAGAAACCAGTTCATGTTTTTTAAATCCTAAAAGAGCACAGCATTTTTGTTGATGCCACACTTAGTGACGTCGTGATTCTAAAGACAACCTACACCAATATTCACCAAACCACTCAAGAACATCTACCTACCTTTGCTTTTTGGCTATTTGTCTGCTGGGTTAACTAATTATAATTAGTGTTATAGACTTTTCAGCCCAAACTGAAGGTTTTACCTTTAGTATATCAACAGCCAAAAAGAAATATGAAATTAAACCCATAGTTCCTCTTACAGATAACATAACTAAATAGCATTAACTGGATACAAAAATGATATTTAGATATCATTATTTTCTTTGCTAAATCTACTGATACTTTGAATGGCATCACCATCCCCCAAATCAAACAGTCAAAAATCTCATTTCCAACATCTTATTAGTAGCAACATCCAATATTCTGCTGCTCTTATAAATCCCACTCACATTTTTATTCCCATTACCCCTTGCCTATTTCAGATATTGATTTGAGTTCTGAGCTAAACTACTGTAGTGACTGTTTTCTTCTCCAACTTTTGTCTTTTCTCTTGGAAATACACTTGATTTACAATATTGACAGAGAAAAAATTTAAAAGCAAAGTTAGTCGATTATCAAGGTTATCCTTTCTGAGAAACTTTCCATGACAGCCTATAGACAAAAGCACGCATTTCTCAGTTCAGTCCTCATGAACAGAACCTAACTACTTTAATTCTAACCAAACTAAACTATGCATGTTACCAATGTTTCTATCTCCTGTAGTTTTTTCTAAATACCTTTTTCTCCTTATTTTGCACAAACATCCATTCTCAAATGTTTCATCCATGAAATTTTCCCTTCCCCACAGTATCTGTACATCTCTCATAACAGCAATTTTGATTTTATATAAAATATTCTAATGAAAATGACTTCTATCTAAACAACTGATAGAAACGATGAGTATTATATTTATTTCATCTTTGAATCTTTTTTTTTTTTTTCCTGAGACAGCACCTCATTCTGTCACCCAGGTCGGAGTGTAGTGGCACGATCTCAGCTCACTGTAAGCTCCGCCTCCTGGGTTCACACCATTATCCTGCCTCAGGCCTCTGAGTAGCTGGGACTACAGGCACCCGCCATGACGCCTGGCTAATGTTTTGTATTTTTAGTAGAGACAAGGTTTCACCGTGTTACTGTGATTGTCTCGATCTCCTGACCTCGTGATCCACCCGCCTCAAGCCTTTCCAAAGTGCTGAGATTACAGGTGTGAGCCACTGCGCCGGGCTCATCTTTGAATCTCTTGCAACGATTAATAGAATGCTTGGAACATCACTTACATATTTGGTAAGTAAATGAATTTCAGAATTTTGCCAAACCTGGAGTAACTAGTATCAGCAGCAAATATGCTAAGGTGCCTTCTGTGGCACCCTAACTAGTGGCACCAGTATCTAACAATACTCTATGTCAACGATAGAATTTCCTTTGTCAGCACACACTTTTAGAAAAGGGAAAGAAACAGCAACAAAAGTAATTTCTTCTGATTTTCAGCATAGCCCACTCAAAACTGGTCTATTTAGGAAAAGCTAGGACCTCACTTATGACAGGGTATGAAAGAATGATTATACACATCAAATTTCTGGATAATTCAATCCTAATTTTGCATGCAAGATTATCTCTACCCTCATCCATCCTTTACAATGCATTAAAGCACTTTTCTGAAATAAAATCTGAGCATGGCATAAAACCAAATATATCTGGTTTAGAATTTTAAGTTTCTCACTGCCTTTGGAATAAACCCAAATTTCTAGCACTATGACACATTTTCAATGAAGCTACTTTTACCTACTCTAGTCTCATTACTAATTCTCATATATTCCAGACATACTCATCCACAGTTCTTGTAACTTCCTAAAAGTGTCCTTCACCTTCTCTGGCCTCAAACAATGTAGTTTTTCAACGCTCTCTTCTTCTTTGCTGGGTTACTAACTTCACTTGTTTTTAAGACTCATGTCAGACATCATCGGTTTAGGTGCCCATCCTATATTTCCAGGAATTTGGGTATGCTTCAGACATAGACCATTTCATATTATACTGCAATTATCTATTTACACATCTATTTTAGTTATAAGACTGTGAGCTTCTGGTGGGCAGGGGTGCTGTGGCAACCTATTTTCCCATTGATCTAAAAGCAGGTCCTTAAACAGGACTGGCTGGCTGATTGAATGAGAGACTGTATGGCACTCATGAACAGGGTCATGGCTGTCTACAGCAAATAGAAACTCTTTAACAGCTAACATATTCCTTTCATAACTAATACAATCCAGACATGACGACATTCCTCAGCAGTTGCTATCATATACTCCCACATTATACAAAGCCCATTAAAATATGGGAATACAATTGGATAGAAATTTTAATTTAGATAGATTGAAC